TGACGTCACCATGGCCTTTTTCTGTGTGGGGCATGGACGTTATCGGGCAAATCCATCCGAAGGCTTCGAATGGTCACCGGTTCATTCTCGTAGCAATTGACTATTTCACGAAATGGGTAGAGGCTGCGTCATACGCCAGTGTCACTCAATCCACTATTTGCAAGTTTCTGAAGAAAGAAATTATATGTCGGTATGGTCTACCCGAAAGGATTATCACCGATAACGCAACAAACTTGAACAACAAGATGATGAGTGCTGCTTGCGAACAGTTCAACATAAACATCACAATTCCACTGCTTACAGACCAAAGATGAACGGAGCAGTAGAAGCAGCAAACAAAATATTAAGAAGATAGTGGAGAAAACAACTGAAACTTACAAAGACTGGCATGAGAAGTTGCCTTTTGCTTTGTTCGCTTATCGAACCTCGGTACGAACTTCGACTGGGGCAACTCCATTTTCATTAGCCTATGGAATGGAAGCGGTGCTACCCATTGAAGTCGAGATTCCGTCCCTCAGGGTCTTGTCAGAAGTTAAACTGGATGATGCAGAGTGGGCACAATCCAGATATGATCAGCTTAATCTGATAGATGAAAAAAGACTGAAAGCCATTCATCATGGTCAAATCTATCAGAAACGAATGATCCGAGCACATGACAAAAAGGTGCGTCCAAGAATATTCCGCGAGGGAGATCTGGTGCTAAAAAGAATTTGGCCAGTCCAGAAAGATGCCCGAGGAAAATGGACGCCAAATTGGGAAGGACCTTATGTCGTGAAGAAGGTTTTCTCCGGAGGAGCCCTTATCCTGGCTGAAATGGACGGACCTGAGCTGCCACATCCCATTAACTCGGACGCAGTCAAGAAATACTTCGCTTAAGATGAAAACCCGAGAGGGCGTCCTAAGATAAAAAAAAAACGTTTAGGGTGAAAACCCGAAAGGGCGCCCTAAATTAAAAAAAGAAAAAGAGGAAAAAAGAAGAGAAAATAAGGTGGGTTCAAGGTGAAAACCCGCAAAGGGCGTCTTGCAACCAAGGATGGGTCCAAGTTGAAAACCCGAAAAGGGCGATTTGGATATTAACAGTGGAAACATCCCGGCACATGAATCTTCTACGAACTCAACAAATCGGAGAAATGTTGCACCCTCCCAAACGTTGTCGCATTTTCAAAGATCCTTTGGCAAAGACTGCATTCAAAGTCACCAAAAGACTTTTCAGCTCAGAAGTGCCCACGTTATCGAGATCTAAGACATTCATTTACACATCATTGTGTATTCGTCTTCTAGAATGTTTGCCATGTATTATTTGTTCTTCTCCTCCCTTATGAATAAAGACCATCTTTCCTCCAATTCCTTTCGAGCATCTTGAATTAGATTTAAACCTAATGGTTTATTTATTTTTATGAAAGATAATCGTATATTACTGTACAAAGATTCATTGAAAAGTACAGGTACCCAGAGGCCGATCAAGACTCATGCACATGCTTGAGATGGTTGAGGAGCATTTCAAAAAAAAAAAAAAAACCAGAATGTGCACATCAGACTCAGACATTTGAAGAATTCAAGATCAGAGATCGGAACTTCAAGCCCTCAAAATCAAGAGTCAACAACGACAGGCCACCGGAAATCAAGATTTCTCTCCAGAGCCCAGAATAACATATGTTACCCATACATTTTAGGCATACCTAAGAGCATGACATCCATAACATCGCATATATGCATATCTTTGCAGGTTTTACCCAGAGCCAATTTCAACTTCACAACGAAGGATATTGGACTCTAGACAACGCAAGTTCAACTTCACGACGAAGGGACCGCTGGTTGTCAACAAACATTGCTCAAATTTAGAGCCAATTTCAACTTCACCACGAAGGATATTGGACTCTAGACAACGCAAGTTCAACTTCACGACGAAGGGACCGCTAGTTGTCAACAAACATTGCTCAAATTTAGAGCCAATTTCAACTTCACAGCGAAGGATATTGGACTCTAGACAACGCAAGTTCAACTTCACGACGAAGGGACCGCTGGTTGTCAACAAACATTTCTCAAATTCAGATCCAATTTCAACTTCACCACGAAGGATATTGGACTCTAGACAATGCAAGTTCAACTTCACGACGAAGGGACCGCTGGTTGTCAACAAACATTGCTCAAATTTAGAGCCAATTTCAACTTCACAGCGAAGGATATTGGACTCCAGACAACGCAAGTTCAACTTCATGACGAAGGGACCGCTGGTTGTCAATAAACAATTTCTCAATTTCAGAGCCAATTTCAACTTCACAACGAAGGATATTGGACTCCAGACAACGTAAGTTCAACTTCACGACGAAGGGACCGCTGGTTGTCACCAAACATTTCTCCATTTCAGAGCCAATTTCAACTTCCCAACGAAGGATATTGGACTCCAGACAACGTAAGTTCAACTTCACGACGAAGGGACCGCTGGTTGTCAACAAGTAATTTCCCAGTTTCAGAACCAGTTCCAACGTCACAGCGGAGGATATTGGACTCGGAACAATACTTGGATTTCAACTTCACGACGAAGGATTTCCAATTCTCAGGCTCAAATTCACGACGAATGAGCCATATACAATACCAACTTCACAAATAGATTGATCCAACTTCGTGACGAATGGGTCATCTGTAGCACAACCATACCGGAGCTTCGAGTTCAATTTCAACTTCACGACGAAAGGATTTCGTACTCAGGAGCCTCTAGTTTAACTCGACTTCACAACGAGGGAGTCATCTTATATCGACAAACCAGTCCTAATATCGGATTTCAATTCCACGATCGAAGACATTCGATATGACCGAAATTCGTGTCTTTTAATCTTTGCTCTATTTTCGTTACACGATAATGAGCAAAGAGGGGCAGCTGAAGACACTCAGCCTCAAAATCAAATATAATGGCCCAACAGTAGCCCAAACAAGTTGGCCCGTTCCAAGCCAAACCCTAGCAGTTTCTCTCTCACCAGCACCGCATCTCCAAGTAACCCAGGTTCCCCACGCTGCACGCCACCAATCCCGACTCTTTCGGCGCAAGAAGGGCACGAAGATCCTTCAATAACAACCCACAACCAATTATTTCGGTGCAACAGCAAACCAATAGCAAATATCAGTTTTTAACTAGGAATCAAACTCCCAAAAATAGGGTGGCTTGAATATTATAAATAGCATGTAATCCCTAATGTAATTTGGTTTTACAGAGTTGATAGGCAATAAAAAGCATAAATTACAAGCAAATCATATCCATTCCGAAGCACTTATATTTCGAAAAAAGGTAAAAATCGTACCTTTGCATGTTATTTTCGTGCCTTTTTGTGTTTTGATTCAAGAGTAACTCCGAAAAAACGTCTTGAGCCAATGACCAAGAGGGAGATTTCGAAGTTTTTGACTTCAGATCTACGTTCCCCAGAGGTTTTCTTTTGCAAAAACAAAACATTTTGTAAACTGAGGGTACGAAGAGCTCTTTAAAAATCAATTTTTTTTTCGAGTATTGCCGCAGATGAATGGCGGCCGGCGCCGTTGGCCGTGTTCTGGGTTTTCATGAACCCAGGCGGTGGCCGGTTCTTCATAATGAAGAACAGAAGAGAGCATTTGCTCTGAGGAGAAGAGATGAGTCGGTTTTTGAGATGGAAAATGAAAGAATTAGAAAAAATTTTGGCTTGTATATTAAGCCCATTCGACCCGCTTGGACCGTGACCCGACCCGCGTGTTCCCTCAGACCCGCATGTTTTTTAAAACGCAAATGGAGCAATCTCATTTTTGGTCCCTCGCAGATTTAATGCATTTATTTTGGCCCTAAATCCTAATTTAAGCCCTGATTCTCTCTGAATTTGGTCATGTAATTCGATTTTCCTTTCAATTCAATCCCCCACATTTGACTGTAAATCTCAAACTCTCTTTAAATTGGCCCACAATTTTCTTTCTGTTTACATTTTAGTCCTTGTTATGTGTATTTAACTATACCGCTTATTATTTATTATTTCGTTTCCTTTTTATCCTTTCCGTTTTTTGTATTTATTATACTTTTTAGTATCTTATTATTTTTTTTATATATAAACATATTGTTTATTTTTATTTATTGTCACTAACGTGTGTATATATATCTTATTTAGTTTCATCTTTATTATTATTGTCTACGTACATATTTAGTTATCTTTTCCCATTATATATATATTTTTTACTATTACTTAATTATTTTTATTTATTAATCTTATGTATATGTATATTTTTCATTTTATCGATTTTCCTATTATCTTTACCTTTGTTATTATTATTTATATCATATTTTATTATATATTACATGTCATTATTTATACATAGATATGTAAATGTATTATTTTTTTTATTTACTATGCTTTTTATTATTATATTTTGTTCTATACGTTTATTAACTTTATTTTAATTTCCTACTATTATCTTACTAATATTATATTTTTATATATATCTATTTATATTTTATTATCCCCTAGGCCTTTCTTTTGTCTGCATGTATTTTTTTTTTTATATTTTTTTTATGTTTTTTTCCCTCTTGATTTATTTAATGCTCATTTACTATTATTATTTTTATCTAACATTTTTGACCTTTTTAATAAGAGTTTCAACCAATCAGAGGTAAGTTCAGGGATCGCTATTTTACCTTTTAAATTAAAGTTACAATTTTTCTTAATTAAGACAACTGGAAATTATATAGTACCGAAAGGGCAGTTCAAGGGTGCTAACCCTTCCTTGACTGTAATCGACTCCCGAATCCGACATATCCTTGGTAAGACGCAGATCAGGTAAGAAATAAGGTATCCGATCAACCCATTTTTCATAAAATAAACGATCGGTGGCGACTCCAATCCACATTTTTCAAGTCGAAGCCCAATTCCGGGACCCAACCGAAAGACGGTTGCGACACTACTTAAGCTTTCGAAAACGAAAGAATCGATGAACATGATAAGAAAAAATATATATAATTTCAATTTTTTTCTTGTAATTATTGTTTGGAGGATTTGTTTGGGAAATGAAAGGAGGAGAGTGGAACAAGGTGATGAAGAAGGGACTGCAGAGCAAATACTTGAAGGTGAAGGACTTGGGGGAAGATAATGAGGAAAAACGAAGAAGAAGAAGTGGACAACGATGATGAGGAAAAAGGAGAGGAACAAGAGGAAGATAATGAAGATGAAGAAGAACACATGATTTTTGTTGGGCAATGTATCCATGTAGACGTTGTAGGAGCAGTCATAGGAATTTCGGTTGTTGCATAAAATTTCTTTGAAATTGCTTATTTATTTTGTCGAATACATGAGAAATGGAGCTCCATATTTTAAATACCAAGTTTCAACAAATGCATGATATTTACTTATATTTTTCATTTATTATTAAATGGTTAAATTTTTTTATCAAGTGGGTCACAAAAAAGGTATAAGGATTAATCAAGGCCCTAATCATGTGACAATACATATTAGAATGAGTGTAGAGTGTTATATTTAGTGGTATTAGAGTATCAGGTTAAGTCTGTCCTAAGATCGATACCAGTGATGTGCATAAATATATGGATAAAAGGAGTTAAGGGTACTCCTTTATGCTGGGATTATAAATATATTCTCCGCTTTTATCATTGTAGGATAGTAGATGACTAGTGAACTCGACAAAAGCCAGGAAACTTGAAACAAGAGCTAGGCCTCCCTCTCCAATGATTTAGAAGACGAGTTTATTCCAGATTTTAAGGAGACATCGACGCGATGAGAGTCACATATTTTCAAATTTTAAATACGATATTATAGAGAATTGCGAGAGTCATCCCATGAGTTCAGCTTGCACTTGTTGCTCTCCCTTCTCCGGTTCCGACACCTGAAATTTCAGTGGAACGCCTTAGGAGTTGTAAAACTATAGAGTTTTATGAGTCTATAGTCTTCATAGATCGCGTTCACGTCATGACTTCTACGGTTGGGTAATGGATTTCTTGTCACGCCAGGCGAGTTAAATTCTAGATTCCTAGTATTAATCAAGTTTTGCACAACTTTCTTAAAAACAAGACAATTCTCAATGGAATGCTCTGTTATCTCCACATGATATTCACAATGTGAACTTAGATCATACTAACGTGGATATGAAGGTCGAAGGGGGTGGGGTGGTATGGACGGACCACGTCTGCCTTTAGTAATTCTTTATATATCTCACCATATGGAACTGGTAGTAGTGTAAAAGATATCCTTTAAGCCTCCCTCCTTGATCCTTTAAATTCATTTCTACGAGTTTGTATCGACCTTCTTAACCTTCGATTGGGTGATTGTGACATTCTTCAAAACATTCTTAATATAAGTGCTTGTGTTGTTCTCCTCATTATCATTATTCTTGTACATGAGCTTTTTCAAGTTGGAGCCTTCCCCTCCATCAATTTTGTTACTTTTTAATAGCGTTCTCAATTAGTTCCCCAAAGATAATAAGTTTGGCAAAGTTTTTGGTAACATTTCCTAGCATATGTCCCAAGTATGGGGTCTTTAAAGTGCTAATAAAGATCACGATGGACTCTTTCTCAAGTAACGGGAGATGGACTTGTGTAGCCATGCCGCCTCCATCTTTGATAACAAGTAAAAATGGGTAGCCCTTAAACTAAGAGAACAACAATAGGATAAGCTGCCAGAGACCCTTCATGGATTTTGTCTCCTTACACTCTTAGGTATCCTCATTTTCTTTTAATTGTTTTCTATAATTTTTCTAAGGTTCATTTCTGGTTCATTGATGTAATAATTTGCATGGAGACTGGACTCGAGGATGTTTCTATCTTGTTGAGGGATCTGCCACGCTGATACTCATCAAATTAAAAATCTTGGCATGTCAAACTACGCGATGGTTCTTTTTTATACATCATTGAAGTTTAGGTCGGGTGATTCCTCAGTCCAAGGTCAGGAAATAATTGCGTTTTATATAAGAATTGACAGTGGTAGGATTCGAACTTAATATTATAAACTCAAATTTTCTAATCCCAACCATTTGTACTAACACTTATTGGCTCTATCCAGTGGTTCATGGGTACTACTAAAACTTGATATTAAGTAATGGATGTTGTTACGGTAATTACGAATATTGCAGTCTAGCCATAATAATTTCGAATGACACATTTATCATTATATAATGACCACTATTTTGATAACCGATTGATGTTTAAATCTCATATCTTCTTATTTTTGAATCAAAGGTGGTTTTTTTTTTCAGGCATGAAGATGGTGGTGTGGTGGTGGAAGTTGGTTTCAATGAAACCAAGTTCAGAGTCGGAGACGTTGTCGGCTTGGGTTATGTTGTCGGATGTTGCAAAAGCTGCCGACCATTCGACACGGATAATGAACAATACTGTCTCAAGAAGATTTGGTTGTACAACGATGTCTACACCGATGGAAAACCCACACAGGGCGTCTTTGTCGGTTCCATGATGGTTGATCAAAAGTGAGAATCAACAACAAAAATGTGCTCCACATATAATAATCATTGTTGGATTGTTACATGCTCATTTTTGAGTGTTTTTCTTAGGTTTGTGGTGAAAATCCCAGATAAAATAAACTCAGAACAGGCGCCACCGCTGCTGTGTGCGGGGGTGACCGTTTACAGTCTATTGAAGCACTTTGGTTTAATAAGGAGTGAGTTGAGAGGAGGGGTATTGGGACTCGGAGGAGTGGGGCACATGCGGTGAAAATAGCCAAAGCCATGGGACACCATGTGACTGATCAACTCGTCTGATAAGAAAAAACTGGAGGCATTAGAACATCTCGATGCCGATGAATACTTGGTCAACTCCGATGCCGAAGGGATGCGAAAGGCAGCCGAATCGATTGATTATATCATCCACACCGTGCCTGTTTTTCACCCTCTCGAGCCTTACATTTCATTGTTGAAACTGGATGGAAAATTGATCCTCACTGGTGTTATTAACACCCCTCTTCAGTTTGTTACCCCAATGACCATGCTTTGTCAGTCTAATTCCCTAACTTTTAACCCTTTCCGAATTTTATATTGTTTTAATTATTTTTCCTCTTACGAATTCCGAACATTTTCCTATAGCTTATGGATTTTATTGAGACAATGACATACTTTTGGTGTATAGGAAGCGGATTACAGGGAATTTTATAGGGAGCATGAAGGAAACAGAGGAAATGCTTAGGTTGTGTAAAGAGAAGGATTTAAGGTCAATGATTGAAGTGGTGAAGATGGATTATATAAACATGGCAATAGTGAGGTTGGAGAAGAACGATGTTCCATACAAATTCGTCGTGGACGTGTCCCGAAGCAACTTGATCTATTAGAATAAACTCCTCTAAATTAAGAATTTATGTACTTTCATCAACAAACAAGTACATGTTTAAATATCACTTTGTTTTCTCCCTTTTGTTGTGTTGTTCAAATGACTCATCACAATTCCTAGACAATAATAATAATAATAATAATAATAATAATAATAATAATAATAATAATAATAATAGTAATAATAGTGATAAGAAGTTATTTTTATTTTAAAATAAAATTTGTATTGTAAAATAATAAAAAATAAGATATATGAGAAAAGAGAGATGTAGAGTGTGTTGACGGACTTCATTGAATTTTATATTTATAGTCGTAAACAATACATGTGAATTGTGTTGTATTGTTACAATCGAGACTGTATTTTGGATTAAATATTACAACACCACTTATATAGATGATGATAATAATAATAAAATCATATTTTATGTATAAAAGTAGGCATTTATATAAATAAATTTTTATAACAACTTCATAATTATAATTTTTTTGTATTATATGATATTGGAATTTTATAACATTTATAACTTTTATATGATATAAAAGAAGGGATTACTTACTATAATCCATTTTTACGTACAACTTCTAAAGACTTATAACAAAATCAACTAAATTAATCTTCATTCGCAACGAAAAAAATCTGTATACATTTCTTTCTCTCTCTCAGTAATATATATATATATATATATATATATATATATATATATATATAGTTATTAACAACGAAAAAATCTTTATACAACTCTCTTTCTCTCTCTCTATATATATATTATATTACATAGGCACCAAATGGCGAGGTAAAAATGTGGTAGACTTTGGTGTCCCTAATATCTCCACTATAATGTTGATAGAGGATGAGTGTATTTTATCGTCTAGTTTTAGTGGTAGTAAAACGTTACATAATTCGTCGGCATAAGAAAAACAAAAGAGTAAACTACACGCATAGTCACGGAAATATAAGATTATTTTATTTTGATCATCCATCTACGAATTTTATAAATTATGTTTATTGAAATCATTTTAATAATGTAATGATCCAATTCACAAAATCAATAGTTAAGTAGTCAAAACAAAATCACGCCTATAATTTAGTGTCTATTCAAGTAGTTTATCCACATTAATAAAGTATCCATAAGAGCAAAAAAAAACGTACCTAAAAAAGTTACGATAATAATAAAAAAAAGTACTTCTTTTTTTAACTTTTTATAATTGAAAAACTCAAAATAGTCCCCTCTAAATTAAGAGCTTTTTTGTTGAGTTTTTCAATTACAAAAGGTTACAAAATAATCATTCAATTTTAAAAAGGAGTAATAAGTTAGTCTCGGATCGTTAAATATTTAACAGTAAATGATGTGACAATTAATAAAATTGATATAATAACAATATAAGTCTAACTTTTATAAGTTTTTAATGAAAATTGGAGTCAAACAACCTTACAATAACTTAGTTAAACCGTGAAAAACACTCAAGTTAGGCCACGAAATGAGAGGTGGAAGGCTGGGGTAGAAATCGCCGATGTTATCGGCAACCTATGACGTTGCTGGTTGAATCCCAGGATGCATACACTCTTTTGTAATGGCTGATGCCATCCATGTTTAATTTAAGTTATGGTCTATCCTTAAAAAAAAATATACTAGAATTTAAGTACCGGTTTATCCTTTAAAAAAGTACTAGTAGTTGGATTAGTGCCATATTTGTAGTTGTCATTGCAAATGTTCGCCATCTTTTAGTATATACTTTATCGTGTATTTGAATGGTAAGTTCTTTCTATGGTATATCATTCATCGCTATCATTCCTACTCTTTCCTCAGCTATAAAGAAGGTAAATTATAGATATGGTCACTTTCGTTAGAGTTTATAAACTTTTCCTCAATGAATTCAAAAACATAAATTTGGTCAATTTTATTTTGTTTTAATTAAGATGTGGTTACTGAAGATTAATGGCAATTAAACCTTTAACGATTTGCTAATGTGGCAAATTTTTATTTTAACACTTGAATTTTAGATAAAATTTAATTATACTTTTTTTATAAATCCAAAGT